ACGGGTATGCTGCACAGCCTTGCCATAAGTAGCCTCACGTACGGCCTCACGTACGGCCTCACGTACGGCCTCACGTACGGCCTCACGTGAGGCCTTACGTGTAGCTGGCCTATATATATAGCCTCACGGAAACGGTAAGAATGCACAATGAAATAGTGAGGCTGTACAGCCTTCCCATTTCATATAGATGCGCGTGAGAATTAAGCGCCGGAGCTTCCTCCGAGCCCTCCGGACCAATCAGAAGATCAGACGTAAGAAGGGTGTATACGGAGTAGAAAAGGGGTGTACACCGAGTAAATATAGGGTGTACATTTAGCAGCGCCCAATTATTACTCCGTGCTTTAACAGCTTTGTATAGGTCTCGTTAGGCATTATTCCACTAGAAAAATCATCGCGAATTGTCTTATTTATTAAGGCAGAGCGCTTCCTATTACATACTAATGCAGTTGCTTTAAGGCTGGCGATATAACTAAAATACAATGCCTCCTCTGTCTCCTATAGCCACCTACGCTTATTAGTAATAGAGCTACCAGGAGGCTCTTTTGTAAGCGTGCCCTTCATCGTACAATTAGTCTTATTAGACAATGTATTGCGTATACGGTTTGTAGGTTCTGGATTGCCTGCATAGCAGTATCAGAACCATATCTTCTTTACCGCCTTTTCCGCCGTCTTGTCATGTTTTAAGCGGTACTTTACAAGCCCCTAGCCTTGCTCCTTTGCATGCTGCAAGAGCACCTCCTCGGCTTCCTCTAATATATTATAATACCGCATTGGGGGCGGCTGGAGGGCTATAGTAAGTGTATTGTGTAGGTAGAGGAGTATACAGCAATTGCTTCTGTTCGCGGCTGCATTTAGAGAGAGTATTTGGAATTAGTAAGCAAGTTAAGCGAGCGAATCGGAAGCACCGGAACATTGCTCCGAGCCAATCAGAAGGTGGTGAAGCGCCAAGAAGAGGGGGGTGTACGTGTAGCGATTAGGGGGTGTACGAGTAGCGCTCCCCTTTATATAGAACTATGGGAAATATCAATGTGTGCACAGAGTCTGAGTTGTTTGAAGTTAATGTACCTATTGATTTTCTCGTCACGCCGGGTTTCTCGGCAACCAGGGACGGACCTTAGTTAGCTAGATTTTAGCAGCTGTTGGCTCATGTACCCGTGCATCACGACAAAGAACATCTCATCTGGACCACACGGACGTCTCTTTCAGCCTGTTCGAGAGAAAGAAAACGCTACCCGGGCCTGCAAACATCACACAAACAAGTTTTTTTCGAAATATTGTTTAGATTGCTCTTCGAATAACATCGACCAACGACATAGTACCAGAAATGCTACCAAAAACAAGTCTCTCCACAACGGCCCATTGGAGTAGGATATTTCTAGACCTTGAAGAGACCGCAGAGTTCGAAGAGACCAGGCCGATCAGCACTCGCGCCTCACGTACTCATCGCGCCTCGCGTACTCCCCGCGCCTCACGCACTCTTTTCTGGGTCACATCAGTAGAGCGTGGCCTACTTCTCGCCGCTCTTGCAAAGAAGCGCTCAGAAGTTGATCTCCTCCGTACCGAAGTCGAGCACCGCCCCATCACCGACGTTTCTTCTCTGCACGAGCCTATCGGTCCTCCTATCGTCGCGATTTTCATAGTAGCGTACGCGCTGGGCGACATCCAGGCTGTCATCTACCTTATCATCCTGTTTCTCGTCCCGATTCTCATTTTGGGTCTCTACGCGTCACTACTGCGGCTAAAGAGGCTAAAGCCGCAAGTCCTAGATGGTAGCATTGACAAGGACAGGGGGAAGGAGAAGAAGAGCGCAAAGGTGTGGGGGCCTTCGGCCGAGCAATGGGAACGAAGAATGCAGTGGGAAGCAGCGTGGTGTTGGATAGAGCGCCATCTGGATTACTACGCCGACCACTTCATCGCGTGGGATCGACATCCCGGAGGGACGAAGACCGCGGTTTGGGAAGAGCTTGTAAGAGTCTGGAGGGAGTGTGAGGAGCTGGAGTAGAGGGCGAGGAGACCTGATCTGGGGGAATGCAAATTTCGTTGCGCCTCACAATCTCGTGAATCCGAGCGCATCTATTGAGGGAACACGATAATATATATCGACGGGCATAGTCAACATTACTGGTCCCGCCAATATACGGCCTACCTAGCACCAAAACAGCTGGATCCCAGCTACTGGCTCTGCTTCAGATCCCACAATTCGATTTATATCTGAGATAGCTACCACGTGACACTAGCCCCTAATGATACAGCAAGGGTGCTCTATTGGTCGATGCACATCTCACTGTTGCCTAGCGAAACCTACCGAGCGTATAAAGAACAAAAACCAGAAACTCAACTATCATCTCATATTTAAGCTGACTTCAAGTAATATCAATTTATTCATATACCGTTTTTATTTGCATCACCATGTCTGTGTTCGCCCCCAAAATCGCCCCAGCAGAACTCCAAGAGCCCCCCTCCGCCATCGACCAAAAAGCCCAGATCCTCGTAGACCACATACGGAAAAGCAAGCACTTTATTGCTTTCACGGGTGCCGGGATCTCCACTTCTGCGGGCATCCCCGACTTCCGCGGCCCAGAGGGCAACTGGACGCTGCGCGCCCAAGGGCGGCAGCGCACGGAAAAAGTAAACACATTAACTGCTATTCCGACGCCTACGCATATGGCGTTGGTGGAGCTGCAGAATCGGGGGATGTTGAAGTATCTTGTTAGTCAGAACTGTGATGGACTGCATAGGCGGAGTGGAATATTGCCAGTGAGTCTGACTACCTAAACCATAACGTAACAATAGGAGGTCATTTGATGCTGATTGTCGCATGAAGGGCCGCATATCCGAACTCCACGGCAACAGCAACCGCGAATTCTGCCAGAGCTGCGGAAAGGAGTATCTCCGCGGTGCGCTGCCCCTATTCTTGCCTCCTGCACCCCGCCCCGGCCCCTTCTCCCTTACTCATACCTAAGCAGACTTCCGCGCGGTCGCCACCTACGAGAAAAGCGACCATGACCACCGCACGGGCCGGCGCTGCGCGCTCCCAAACTGCGCCGGCCCCCTCCTCGACAGCATCGTCAACTTCGGCGAAGACCTGCCCGCCAAGCATCTCTCCTCCGCCCGCGCGCACGCCAAGCAAGCAGATCTGTGCCTCACGCTCGGCTCCTCTCTCACCGTGACGCCCGCGAACGAAATCCCAGCCGTCGTCGGCAAGCGGAAGGGCGGGAAGCTGGTGATCTGTAACCTTCAACCCACGCCGCTCGACGACCTCACCAGCGTACGGATCTATTCAAAGACGGATGAGCTGATGACGGGAGTTATGGCGAAGCTCGAGATCCCGATTCCGCCGTTTGTGCTGCGGCGGCGGTTGGTGGTTGAGATGGAGAGCGCGGGGGGTGCGAAGCCGCGGCACGCGATGACGATTAGCGGGGTTGATGTGGACGGGACGCCGGCGACGTTTCTGCAGTCGGTGAAGCTGAAGGATAGCAGACGGGTGGTGCGGGCGGAGCCGTTTGTGATTAGTTTCCGGGAGGAGTTGGAGGAGGGGAGGGAGTTGAGGTTGGAGCTGGAGTTTATGGGACATTATGGCGAGTGCAATGCGGAGGTTGTGCATGTTTTTAGCGGGGACCGGGGGTCACGGAGCGAGCATTTGCTGGAGTATGAGGTTGGTGGGCAAGGGTGGGTGGTGTCACAGGTGTAGTAAAGCAGAGACTTGAAAGAGAGTCTAGAACAAAAAGATACCAAGCTAGATACCCCCTTGTCATCGCCGAAAGTCATAATTTAGAGAGCAGGCTCCTTGCCTCTTCGTTAAGCCGTTCGCCGAATACCCGAATATCCAGGATTATAGGCACTTTTAGTCCCTCTGCGCTTTCCGCCTCGCTCCAAGAAATCAGGCCCTACCTTCAGAGTGCAAGCATATGAGCCCTACAGCTTCAGTGAATCGCCTCAGATTGCACATCCAATTTTCTCCGCCTCCGCCTGCAGCTCCTCCTCTGTCTTACCAACCTCCTTAGAACCCTCCTCAACCTCCTGGCAATCACATCCAAACCGCTGTCTGAACTCAAACTGCGGCAGCCCCTCGAGCAGGTCCAACCCGTTATTGCTCGCTTTGATGCGTGCATACCGTCCACTCACCGCCGTGCCGTCTGCGATGACCTTCATGTGCACCAAGACCATCGCAACCACCGTCGGGCGGGCGCCCGGGATCACAGAGTCGCACATGCGCGTCGCAATGCGCCAATCCTGGCAGCCTAAGCCGACCTGGAGCAACTTCGTCAACTTGGTCGTAGGGTGGTTGTTCGCAAACGTATCGTAGATGCTCATGTCTTCGAAGTAGGACTTGACATGCAAATCGAAGAACTGCTGGACGGTATTGAAATCGAACTCAGAGTCGACGAAGAGAGCGCCGACGAACGCTTCGATGATATCAGCCAGGCATTTCGGGGGTTCGCTGACTGTGGTCCAGTAGTCTGGCGAGCCCTTGGCCTCGCATTCCGCTTCTTTCACCTCGGTGACGTACTCGCGAATCTGGTGCTGCAGGGCCTGGTTGTTGTGGCGAAGGTGGACGTGGAAGTCGAGCTTGACGCAAAGGGCACCGAGGAATTTGTTCGACACCATAGGCATCTTGTGCTCGGTGAGCCATTGAGGGTCTTTGGTGGGATAGCGGTAGAAGAGATGGGCCACGAAGACCATGTCCAGGAGAGAGTCACCGAGGAATTCGAGACGCTGGTAGTGAGGAATCTTCTCCCACATATAGGTCTGGGAGGGGTGGACGAATGCGGAGCGGAGCAGTCGGGGCCACTTGAAATGGTATGGGTGCTTCTCCTCAACTTGCGCAGCCAGATCAAGTTGGGATGCTGTGGCTTCGACGTACTGGTACTTCGGCATCGAGTAGGCTTTGTAGTAATCCGCCCATTTTTCCATCTTGTGGTCGTCGTTGTCAACCATGACCTTGACCGCCTTGACAGCTTGGTCCCATCTCGCCGGCTCAAATGTACCGAGTTCGTTGTGCTCCATAAAAGCGGCACCGATGAGGGCTTCGCAAATATCGGCAACGGACTTATCTCCTAGACGGACCCGGATGACATCGTCTCCAGTCTTCTTAGATCCTTTGCCATGTAAGAGCTTCAAGCCTTCAGGGTACCACAGTCGCCGAGAGAACGCCATACTACGCACATATTCGTAGAGTTGTAGTTTCCTAGCCGTCTTGAAGAGGTTCTTATTGCACAAGAGCAACATGCGCCTCACATGGAACTCGAATTCGTTATCATCCGGGCGCTGGACGAAGACTGAGATTGATGTCGCCATCTTCAGAAAGCAATCACCCATGAACTCAAGACGCTCGTAATTTGGTCCCATGCCGGATCTAATATTAATCTTTTCTCCTTCATGGTCTTCCGTATTGTCGGAGTCCTTTGTCAAAGCCTCCAAAGCTAGCGCGGGACCGACTTCAAGACCTGAGACTTTACAGGCATCCAACGCAATGAGATATGAATCAAACCGATGGATGATGGCGGGGAAGGTATAGCACGTGGCTACAAAATTGGCAGGGAGCTATTTCATGTCAGCAGATACTTCAAAGTCGTAGAAAAACTTACAGATGAGAATCTCAGAGGCTCCGGACACACATAAGCCGAGCACTGTGAAACAATCTCGTCATCGGTCTCAATCGGCGCCAAGAGATTGCGTCTGAATGGAACTTTCTCGACCGCCACTACTGGTTGCGACAAGTCCCATTTCCGGATAGTCCTTGACTTGGACCAAAGGCTGACGGAATAATCCAGAATGTTGTCGTTGAATCTCTTGTTGCGCGGAGCCGTGGAGGGAACAGGGTCCAATGGCTTCTTACTCGGATCCACCGCGATAGAAAAGAATCTACGTCCACCATCCCACAAATCGACAATGAACCGATTTGCCAAGCTCTCATTGGGAACTTCGGGAGTCCATCGTGCATCGTTATTATAATGAAAGATCATATTAACATCCTCCCAATTAATGAGATCAAGCGGGTGGCCGTGACTAGAATCAAGTAGTGAGCTAATCGGCTTCAAAGGGGCCAGCCAATAAGTCATCTTTGAGGCGTCGTTCTCAAATATCTTGGCAAAGATGTCGTGATAGACTCGCAGAGTCACCAGCGTAAGCTGCTCCAACTGCTCCTCAGATACCTCGAAGGACTTATCGAGAGATACTGATGTGACGCCCGTCTGCGTTCCATTTGCAAGATAGAGAGGGAATACAGGCATCGAGGGGAATTTCTGGCGGGTGAGCAGGCAGATTGGCGTATGAGGTCTCTCCAAGCCATTGTCCAAATCCAGAATGGTCATGTAGAGAGTCTTTGGGCGCTCGCCTCGACCGTAATTCCAGAATTCCGGCTTAGTGCGCATTAGGTAGAGGTCCTTTTTCTTGGCATCGAGCGCAAGCTGAGCATTCCGCATGGCAGGAAGCTGCTTGGTGTAGATAGGAAGTAGATGTCCATTTATGTATCTGCCCTTCCAAAGCGCGATACACGCTTCGAACGCAGCACCTTGCTTTGCAATAGCCTTCTTGCTTGCAGCGACACCTAAGGCAGAGCGAATTGGTGAAGCATCTGGGAGTATGACCTCGCAGATGAATTTGCCCCCCTGCCGGGCTATGATGTAGGCTGGTTGGGAAACCGCCTCTTCCCCTTGCGGTAAACAAGCACAGAAATGTGCGAGAACTCCAAGGCTTGAACCGTAGGTAAGCTTCGCGCCAGTCTTAGGATCGGTAAAAGATCGTAGGCTCCGTTGCTTCGCAATTTCGTTCTCAGCATCCGCGTCAAGCACATCAATGAGCCGATCAGCTGGCAGCTGCTGGCAAAAGCTGCGCATTATTCTCTCTGCACCTCGAGCCTCGTATACAGTTTGGCTCTGTGAAAGATTGCCTTTTTCGACCATATGAAGATACTTTGAGTTCTTGTGGCGGGCCCGACCCCGTGACTGAACGTAGGATATCATCGTCCGGTAGAGATCGAAACGGACCACGAGATTGCACTGGGGAATATCCAGGCCCTCTTCGGCAACTGATGTGGCAAAGAGGCAGTTTAATTCGCCTTTCCTAAAGCTTGCCACTGTGAGAACCTGTTGTCGTAGCGAGACATTGACGTTCTCGGCGTTAGAGTTGACTCCGACAAGTATTCCGCCACGAAGATACGAGCCGCCAAGGTGCTTGGTGATGAGCAACAGAAGCCGCGCAGTGTACCGACGTTCGACAAAGACTATGCAACGGGCCTCCGTATCTCTGCTGAAATACTGTCGAAGCCATTCGATAAGTGACTTGACTTTAGAGCTAATATCGTTCAGATCATCTTTTGGGATGCCAAAGTCGAAGTTCTTCACCACCTCCGCAGCTTGGCGTAGCAAAGCAACTTCTGCGTCGAGCTTCGCCATTGACCTCGCTACCTTTTGTGCATGGAAGCGCCTCTCTTGTCTCATTTCAGTCTTGCGCTCCTCTTCTTCTGAGAACGCAAAAGACCAGTAGATGTCGGCGGCCCATTTACCCAGCTCGGAACTGATTTCTTTAGAAACCCGGAATAACTTCTGGAAAGGGCGCAGATCCCCGAAGCAAGCTCTCAGCTGTTGGTGCAACTGAGTCTCGAAAGGGGCTGGAAGAGCTTCGTAGTACACCACATCCTCGAAAGGCTTGCTAATCTGATTCTGCATCAAAGTTAGGTCGGAAGTGGTCGCAATTTTGCAATGCAACAGGTTTTCGAGTTCGCTGATACTCGTCAGTAAAGATTCGTGGGGGTATATTTGGGACCATTACATCGCTGCTTGCTTTACGTCGACCTTGGCATCAACCGGAGAAGCAGTCATTCCAAATACCTTTGGTCGCTTAGATAGAACAGTCTCTGCCATGTAATAATCCTTGAGTATCCTAACGATGGCGAACACATGTCAGCATTTGATCAGCTGAGCGGGAGATGGAGACAATACCGGGCGTATGCATGGTTCTTCTTGGCGTGATGAGCCTCGTCAAAGATGAGAAGATTAATCCTAGCCATACTGATGAACGAGTGCATCAAGCATTGGACTAGAACTTCCGCCGTGCAAACAATCACCATGTTGCTAGCGAAATGCTTCTGCCACGTCTTGGCCTCCCAGAGGTCGACGCCCATTGAGCCGCACAAACCGACAACATTGTGGTCGAGACCGCATTGAAGAACGTTGGTCTGCTGGAAGACCAGGTTGACGGAGTCCACCTACAGGTGAATTAGTCGTGATCCTACAATAGGCAGTGCTCTGAAGGACTTACGAGGAAGAAAGCAAGCCTAGGAGGATTCTCTTTAGCCCGGCTCTCAAGCTCTTCATCGATGATGTAACGGAGGAGTAGAGTCGCGATGTGCGTCTTGCCCGAACCGGTGTCAAGAACAGCGATGATGTTCTCCTGCTTCGCTTTCTCAAACAGCTCCATCTGGTAGTCTCGAGGGCTCGTGATCGTAGCGCTGACATCTTGCTTCGCGAGAATGTCCTTGATAGACAAGGTCTCGTCGTCGGCGCCCTGAATGGCCTGCTTAACCTCTTGCTCCGTAATCTGCTCAGTCCTCTTGTTTGCCCATGCTGTGAAGACTTCATTTTGGGCCTTGCGCTTCTCGGACGAGGTCTTGGGGGCATGTGCGTGAGCAACGTCGCAGTCGATGTCAACGTCCGACTCGTCATCACTGTGATCTGTCCCTGCGCCGTTGATAAGCTCCTGCTCCTCGTCACTATCTAGCTCCTCCTCTAGGTAGGATTCCTCAAGCTCCATTGTTGTACACGTATACAGGTATGGGTATCAATGAACAATGTCGCTTTAGACAGTAAAGATGGAGTGGATGTAGATGTCAAAAGTAGGAGGTTAGTCAGTTAGCCACGTACAAGGAATGAACCCGCCCTTCGGGTCAGGGGACTCGGGTCCTAGCGCGCCGCGAACAAGCGGTGTGCAAACCTGTGAGTGCTGTGATCTGGGGACAGTGACAATCATCATGAAGTTGTGAATTAGGACATCAAACACGGAATCGGCAGAACTTGAGAGCTGAGACGAAAGAGCATGAAGAGTAAGTGAAAACGGCGCTACCAGTCAGCGATATAAATCAAGAAGTGCACCGAAGTTCCGTTAGTTAGGCCTCATTATCTGAAGGTTCTGTTGAAGTGAGGTTGGTGGGGTAGAGAAGGTGTTGTCGTCGCGTTAAACGCTCGCGATCACGTGCTGATTAGATAGGATTCCGCTCTTACAAAGGTAGCTTGGTCCTAAGACAACCCTGGAACAACACCACCAGCGGTGATACTCGCACCTAACAACGAAGCCATGGATGAAGACCAGCCCAAAAGCATAAGATGGCTGTTCGTAGAAGCGGAAAGACGTCGTGACCAGCTCGAGAAGTCCTGGGATTCCAACAGCACTGCCTACCAGGAAAATCTCACGGCGGCAATCGCCACGTACGAAGAATGTTTGCGTGTAGCAGACCAGGTCTCACTCTACAGCCCGAATGAGACACTCGATGACATCTCTAGCGGGGACTTGCAGTACGTGTCTTTCTAGCCATGAAGCCAGATTCGAGCAGATACACTAAACTTTACAGATACATGCCGCTCAACTACCACCTCGCTGAGCTCATTCTAAAAATCACGGGGGGCGACCGCAAGGCCTACATCAAGCGGGCGCAAATTTGTTACGAGAAGTTCCTGAAACTACTGGATTCGTACGACATGCTCTCCAAGTCCGACGCTAGGCTGCTGGAGCGCTATCTCGACGCCCGCGACGAGTTTTCCACGGCGTCGACGACGGACGCCGCAGCCCGACGCGAGATGAAGATCTCGAGGTTCAAGGAGGAAAAGGAGCTGAAACGGAAACTAGAGGTCCGTACCCTTGATTGCGTAATCTGCCCTTGCAACGTTTGCTCATGTAGTGGTTGCAGTATCTCAGACAGAACCCCACGGCGCTAGAAAACGACGATGCAGCCTTGAGGCAGCTTCACATGACTAACGTTGCACTATGCGTTCACCAAGCATTTCAGTCTCTAGAGTCATGCGCGCAAGAGTTGAAGATCCTTGCCTTGGCTCCGCCAGCACCACCTGCAGGACAGCCTCAGAACCCAGGTGACTCTCGCCAGGAAGATAGAGGCGATGCGTACTCTGAGCGCTTAGATAACCCCCTCGTTGGGGGCTTGAGGTCATCCGGCCCCATTCTCAGTAGCGATGGCAAGCCCTTGCGGCCATTCACGTTGCTAGACAACCGACAGGTGTTGCGACAAGGCGTGTTCAGGCCTGATCACAGCCTACCCACCATGACGATCGATGAGTATCTGGAGGAAGAGAAGCGAAGAGGTGGGATTATCGAAGGGGGCGGTGAGCAGTCCGGGATCCGCCCTGAGCCGAACGAAGATGACCTGGTTGCTGCAGATGCGGAGACAATGAAGGCGCGTGCATGGGATGAATTCAAAGAAGACAACCCGAAAGGGTCAGGCAACACGCTGAACCGTGGCTGATTAGGGAATATGACGTATCTATCCGAAGCACGTGTCTACGTATGTTGTCCCACGCTGAATGCAAGTCTAATAGGAGACATGCAGTCATGATACGTAGCGAGAGTGTAGCGAAAATCTAGCGAGAGTGTATACATGTGTGACAGATCAGAGCTTATATTTCCCTAGTTCAGGCCACTTCTGAAGCACGGCGGTGATCAAATCCTCCGAAAGTAGCTTGTAGGCCTGAAGATCTCGCATGAGTAGTGGTTAGCGTCTCGCTGTATGTTTCAATAAAGCATCAAACTCACCAAGGGACCGAAATGCAACCCATCTGTGAAGAATCCCTTCTTGAACTCCTTGGCGCCAGGAAGTCCGCATCCTGGCAGCTTGTTCTCATCGTAAGCATCTTCAGCATTGAGTCTGCCTTGTTGTTCAAGTGCGGTGTCTATCAGGCTTTTCCAAAAGTTCAAGCCGATAACTCTATCAGTCAATGCCACGTATGATTCTGCGATCTCCATAACTTTTTCGGCGTATTGTTTCTTATTCATGTAGGTGCGGTAGCCACGTGCCTTTTTCTCCTCCTCCAGAGACGCCTGCAAGTCCTCGCTGTTGGACCCAATCGGGGAATCTGGCAACGATTCGCGGATGTTGATCGGCGGTGGAGTGATAAGCACGATTTTAGTATCTGTCATTGCCTTCGTGGATAAGATCGTCTCCACGAACGCCCGCAGATTCGCCTCATACTTGTCTAGCGGAACGTGGCCGGACCATGGGGGTAGACAAGCATCATTCGCTCCGAGAAAGATGGTGAAGAGGAGAGTGGGGGGTGCGTTCGGATTCTTGGCACGCGAAATGATCTTCTCAAAGTTGGGTGCAAGCATCGACGATGTATACCTGTTTGTACATACACAATCGGTGAGCTCGTGGAAGACCACACCAAGACCCTGAGTTTATCTGATCTGCGGATTGGTTTCTTACCCTGCGCGACCTGGGAGTTGGGGGTTAGCGATGAAGTTTGAAATCGCTATCTCGCATGAAGTATCGCGTAGCATACCTTCGTTGAGCACCTCGGCCTTGCCCTTGTATTCTTCTTCCAAAACCCAACCAAAGCCGGCGTTGTATTCGTTGAATGCCCAGTCCGTCAATGAGTCGCCAAAGAGGACGATCTTCGGGAGCTGCACGGTGCTTTCCATTCTGATATCAGGGTCCAAGTGATGTTGCGTCAACCGGGCCGCGTTTAGCGGATATCTGTCATCTGTGCGTGCGGTGGTGGTGTGGCAGAGTGTGGCTCCTGCGAACGTCCACCCCCAGCCTTGACGCTTCGACAGTCTGGTCCTAAGCGTGGGGAGCGCTAAGCCGCATACGGCAGACTCGTGGTGTTCTGATTGGGGTTTTGACGTAAATTGTTGCGATCGCTGGATTGGCCGGATTTGCATACATAGTTACACCCTCCCACGATACGCGCTGCGGGCAAACACTCACGGATAAATGAAGGGCATCGCGATATGTAGATTAATGCAAACTACCCGCTATTTCTGCCCACATATATATGCGATCGTCCGACTGATTCCTGTCTGAGACAAGCGACGCACACCACTGTGCCAGAATAAAGATCTGCAAGGCTGAATGTCAACTTTAAATCCACCGACGATCCGGATGAACGCAAGGTCTGTACCATTCCTGGTGCGCCTCAGCCAGGACTAGTCGGTCCTGCGCCTGCGGCAACTTCCAGAGTGTGGCAAGACTGTTGATAGACCACAGCAATCTACGAGTCTGAGCCGAGGCATTGGCAGGACGCTGTCCCACGAACTGGTGATAGTTGTCATAGCTTCGCCGCCGCCCATCGACTGGGTGGGCGTCAGAACGCGCCAATCATCGAAATGGCATGCAGGTACGCGGCATGTTCAGTGGCCGCCCGGCTCCTAAGTGATACCTACTCTATGGGTGGTGGTTCTGTGGCTGGCCCGGCGTTTCCTTACTTCACTTACGTTCCATTGGAGAGTCAGTTCCTCGTCTGTGTTCTGTGCTGTGGTGATGCGGGCGAGGCCTTCTGCCTGCACACTTTTCCCCGAGTGGAGAGTCAGTCTCGGATCTGTGCGCTGCATGCAACATTGGCAGGACAGTACATGTCCATGAGGCGCTTCTGTTTGCCATGGGCGTTTTAGTAGAACGGGAGAGCGTCGCAGGAGAGCTCCTTGTTGTATGAGACGGACCGAATGAGATAGGGACGGACGGCATGCCGCCTGATGCAATAACGCTTGTACCCGTCAGTCGCGCGGATAACTGGCGTGACAGTGAGTAATAGCAGATGCGCCGGGCATGGGATCCAATAGCGTGCAATACTTTTGGCCTGATTTCCGCACACGAGCGCGTACTCTATTGAAAAAGTCAGCAGTCAGCCATTTTGCGGCGCTCGAGATGCGCCAGTCCCTATAATTATTCGGCCCAAGCGGCCGTTTCTTCAACGCTCTTCAGCTCTTGGCTCTGATACCGTGGCTGGCTCCTTGCAACCCGCGCGGTTGGGGGCACGGCTGCTGCAGCCACATGCCAAAGAAGCTCGTGGGGGAATGCAGCGCGGTCGTGCCTGGCCGAGACAAGCCTCAGTGCCGTTTACCAGGCGTCTCCTAGGCGTCTCCAGGCGTCTCCCAGGCACCGCTAGGGCGCAGAGATTGTGTAACTGTAGGCGACGCCACTCGAAACGCGACCAACGAGAAGGCTGGCCTGTGCCTGTGGTGTTGAATGCACCGAGGACGCATGCAAACAAGGTTGGCGGGTGGCCTGCTGCAGAGATCCGGGGACGAGAAAGGGGGCCCTGGGCTGCCGTAGCCCCAGCACGACCGCGGTCGAGTGCCCTGGCAGCCTCGAGGTCTCGAGAGTGGATCGATGAATGTTTGGGGTTCTTCAAGGGCGGATCGGGGGTCCCACACCATATAGGAGTCGATAGATGCAATGGGCACCCACCTGAGCACAGTCCGCAGGATGTGTGGACATACCTCCGAGTCGGCAGAAAGCAGGTACCAGTCGGCAGAGAGTACCAGGGTTCTGCGCAGCAGATATCGGACAGGCAGGCCGGTTGGTGTTGAAGCGGGCGCCAGGTGGAAAAAGCAATGCGCCTGCTGCATTGCACCGTGGTGGGACCTGCGATGGGCGGCGGACCGGGGGGGCGTCCCACACTAGCGGCTTCGTCGGACTGGGGGGGCAGTGGACTGAGATAACCCACCCACACACAAGGGCAGCAGCGGACTTGCTCCATCTCACACAATGTGTGCTTACTTTTGGGCCCAGTCGAAACAAGCAGACGGGCACAACCGAGGGGCCGTAGAAGGCGCAGTCTCAGCACCCCGTCCCGGCCGACGCCCCAGACGACACCGAGTTGTGAATAGTACATATCAATGAGACACCCCCCCACGAGCTCGGCCTCCATCAGTAGTACCTCGCAGTCAGAACGCCAATGGCCACCGGCGTGACCCTCGCCAAGTCGTAGTGCCTTCGTGTCTGCACCTCACCAAGCTGCCGTCATCGCCAAAGACTACACCGAACTGCCTCTCCGGGCATTGACGCTGCTGCGAGAGTGAGACGGCCGAAGCAGCTCCCGAAGCTGACCGTGCCATTCGACATGTCGTCAGGGTAAGACTCCTCCTCCAGCCTCTGCTGCGCCCGAGACATGGGCTGCCAGCGTTGTCTTGCATGTGCAGTCGTGGTGCAGGCGCTGACCGGATATCAGAACATTGAGTGCCTTGACGGCCTCGCTGAAGGCCAATTTCTCCGCCCCGACGACGCCCTACCCATTGCCCGAGGACCTCCAGCAGACTATCGAGGCCTTCTTGGAGCACTACCACGACATCAGCGACCACGACTCGCAGCGACTGCAGGATGAGCTGCTCCCGCTCTACAAGAAAAACGTCGCCGACGCTCCCGAGAAGCATGGTCCGTTTCTCGGCGCCCTGCGACTGCTGCAACCAGCCATACGCGGAGAAAGCCGGCTGGAGGAATGGTGGACGCTGGCAATACGGCCTACGATTGACGCGTTGGGACACAAGCGGGACGAGATTGAGGATGCGCGGTCATTCCTGCAGGAACTGTTAGTATTCGACGCCGACGACGATAAGGATGGGGAGAGGTCACGTGTGTCTGCACACTTCACCATGAAGCTGCTGGATGCGTATCTTGCGCGCACCAAGATACCGTCTGCGGACGAGGACTGCGTATCGCCGGAAGACGAATTCATTGCTCACGAGCTCGAATCTCAAGTGGTGGCATTCGGACGGAGGAAGCCGAAGGTATGCACGTTTCCATCGATGTTGATACTCGAGGCCTAACAATATACTAGGAGCTTCTTGTCGCGCTCGATGCATTGTTTGTAAAGAAAGATACCCGCGCCCAGGCTCTGAACCTCCTAAGCGCGTTTGTGCGCGTTCAGCCACCCCATCTATACCTTGTCCTTGAGACACAACTTATGCAACACCTGGAGACCTGCCTCATGGTCGACACCTCCGCGACCGTAATTGAACTGGCTCTGACGGTTCTTATCATGTTTCTACCGCACATCACGAGCTTGCTCACCACCGACCTGCACCTCAGCAAATTGTTCTTAATCTACAGCCGGCTCCTCTGTTGGGACCAGTTCGAGAAAGCTGAGCCAGAACAGAAAAAGAAGGAAGATGCTACCGGGATAGAGAAGGCGGTGCCCCGGCTACCTGAAGAGACCATTACAGTTCTCTGCAGGGCCAGCGACATACTGTCGTCGTCTGCGAGCGGCCTTCTCCAAAGCTCGCATGAGGCCGAGCCTGGATGGGAGAAGATGGATCGATCGTTCGACTCCACAGAGAGCACCGCCCCCGGCTTGCTGCACTACTTCACCTTCCTGTACGGGCTCTTCCCTCTCAACTTCATGAGTTATATTAGGAAACCTCGGAAGTACCTCAAGACTGTCGAATTCCCGGGCGCGGACGACTTTGAGTTCGACCAGGATCTAATTCGGAGTCGGACTGACCCGTTTCGGCAGGTGCATCTTTTGCACCCCAACATGTTCAACACCACGCCAGAGGACGAGCTCAGCGACAACCGATGGCTGAAGAGCGATCCCGCCGACGTGGTTACTGAGTGCATGGAGCTCTGTGTAGCTGTCTCGTCGTCACTGGATGATCCTGGCCCACCGCCTACCTCGAAATTACCTGACCTTCCGCCCCAACTACCCGATATCCCGGCGCCGCTGAACGTGACTTCTCGCAACGAGGACGTGCCTCAGAGTGGAATATTCATCCTCGACGACGATGGTACAATGATGAAGGACGAGCCTAGCACAAGCTGGCGAAACACTCAATCGACAATGTTCTCGCCGTCTGGTAACGAGGAGTCCGATGAACCCGAGCTGCCATCACGAAAGTCCTTCATCAGCGCGAACAAATCGTCGATTCCACCCTCACCAATTCTCAAGCCTCGCGATGTCGGTGACAGCCCCACATTGCCTCCTCTGAGCAGTATTAGTGACTGGGAGAACAAGACGGGGTTGAAGAAGAAGCCATCTCGAGATCTTCGCAAAGGCGGCACCATCTCTGCTCCTCATAGCGCTACTCCGCCCTCGCCTAGATTGGAAAATTTTGCACAAACCTTGACGCAGACCCAGTTGTCGACGTCTCCATCGCGTGGTGATGTCCAAGGCCAGAGCGTTGCGTCTCTGCAGCGTGAGATTATGCTACTGAAAAATGACCTGAACTTTGAGCGATACCTAAAACTGCAGCACTTATCTCACATTGGCCAATTACAGCGAAAGCACATCAAAGAAGCGACTGCCGAAGCAGAAACTCAAAACCTAATCAACAGCAACAGGACGTTGAAGGCGAAGCTCGCAAAAGCAAATGAATTGTACACGCAGCTTAAGAAAGAGACGCAGACAGGGCGAAGCCAGTCGAAGAAATGGGAAAGTGAACTCAGCTCGAAAGTTCGTTCTTACAGGGAAGAGTCCAAGACTTGGCATTCCGACGAGGAGTCCATGCGAGTGGATATTCAGAAGGCACAGAAAGACTGTGATCGATTGCGAAGACTAGTAGTCGAAAGTGAGGCACGAGAGTTCCACGCCAAGCAAAAACTAAAGTCGATGGAGCTGGATCTCGAACAGCTAGAGAATCTGCAGCGAGAGGTGGACGCCTTAAAAGAAAAGGTACAAAAACTGCAAGGGGTCAATGCCGAATTAGAGCCGACCAGGATGGAACGCGATAGCCTGCGTAGCGATCTCGAAATTGCCAACTTGAAGCTGAATAGTAGGGACGTAGAGCGGGAGCGGACGAGAAAGACGTTCGAACGCAGGATTTTGGACCTTGAAAATAGACTTCAAACAGCACAGGCACAAGGACAAGGAGCTACTCAACCAGGCCAACTTCCAAGATCCGTGCAGCAGATGCTTGACTCGACAATGGCTGCGAGCAATGCCAAGATGGACAAGCTGAAAAAGACACACTACCGCCTACTAGACCAGTACACCGAGTTAGAAATGCGCCTCCACGAGCTTGAAGGAGAGAACCAGGCCCAGGTGGGACGCATGAACTCAATGAGCTCGCGAGGACAATCTAGCATGACGAACATCAAAGAAGACGCTCCATATCAATATCTCAATCGCCAGGCCGCCGCCCCGGTTAGCAACACGGCGAATCCACGCTACACGCGTCCTTTAGTGACAGACCACCCTCAACAGTACGACTATTATAACGAATACAACTCCCCAAATTCGACCAGCAGCCCCGCAAACTACAACTACCCCGCCCGGCCTGTACGCCTTGAGTCACTGCAACAAGAAAAGCACGGCAAAGATCCGATCACACCGACTCAGGACCTATCCGCCGCATATGAGACCTCTCTGAACGCCTCCTTCCAATCTCCCAACAAGCCCGAGACAGTACACTCGAGCAGCAAGAGCAGCTGGTCCGTTGAAACCGGCAGCAGCGCCGAGCGGAGAAAGGCTAAAGTTGCGCCGAAATCGGATGTACGGGTTTACGGCCGTGGTGAGTCCTATTACTCCTAATCTACCGTTCGAAAAGGGCATGACTAACATGAACTCAGGCGGTGCACAAAACGTCGGAAAGAAAATCAAAGACAAGGCCGAAAAGGCCGAGAAGAAGGACAAAGCGCCTAAGACTGGCGGTTTCCGCGGCTTAAAGGGGATCATGTAGATGTGTTACTTCCTATCTCAACATCTCTGGTCCTTTTTTTCTTTTCTCATTCTTGGATCCGCGAAGTTTGATTCCGAGCTTCTCTTTTCTGATCAAATGGATTTTTTCCTTTGTTCTTGCTGCTCAGCTCCCCACCCAGCTTTGCGCATTTGTATTTTGTCTACTCACATTCCGCTACGACCGTCAATGTTTAGAGCCTAATCATCTTTCGTTACTCTGGGGGACATTTGGATTTATGCACTATGTTCCAACATGGGTGGTTGTTTTGTTTCTATTCGGGATACTAGGGAATGAGAAGGGGGGATATCTAGGACAGGCGACAGGATAGGACGGGTTAGGACGGGACACGGCAGGATGGGAAGAACGGTGGGCACAGCACCATCGGAATAGGTCCGTTCACTACATTTCAGCCATCGAAAAGTTTCATTACGACCCGTGCACGCGATCATGTCTGGCTGGTGGGTCCTGCAAACGCCGCTTTTGCTTCTTTCGCGAGCGCGTCTATCATTTTGGCGGCAAGCCACACCGAACAAGAGACGAAGGGAGATCTTCTCGAAGCGTAGCTTCTTCTAGAAGCTGTGGGTGGGGTGGAGGCGGTATCGCCATCCCGTGGGTTTTTGATTTAGCTTATCGCCGTGGCGGACGAGGCGAGGCGACGGCGCATTCTTAACCTCGCCACTGTTATCCGTCGTTTATTGTAACCTATGGTACATATGCTACGATCAAAACCTACCAATATCAAACCTCGGTTTGTTAACCCGTTCCAATGAGAGTTGAGATTGTGCTTATTCTGTGCGCCTTGCAACGCTTTCCCCCCCACGAACGAATCTACAGTGATTCGCACAGTGCAGCACACCAACGGCTACTGTTTTCCCCACCTAGCTTTCTGAACATGTGTCTAGCGTATCCCGCATGGTGCTGCGTCGAATTATTGGACCCGTGCTCAAGTGGGTCTGGGACTATTGAAGATTGACGTGGGGACGTGCGGGTGAACGCGCGGTGGTGTGCTGTGGTTACACAGAAAGAAATCGTCCACACGGAACCGATGCGCGCGCACGTGCGTAAGGCAATATATCAAAAGCACAGGTACTATACAAATACGGGCAAAGGCGGATTTTGCAAAATGCCGGCAATGCAACGTGAACGTGCTGGAGCACGAAAGCCGTATAGCAACTGAATTCCCTGGCTGTAGGTTACGTTAGAAGCGCGAGCGTTTGCTTCTAGCGGAATGCGGGGACGGGGTGGTTGCGTTGGGTCGGGACAGAGTAGATGGAAGACGGATGCGCGTCGACGAGGTATCGTCCGCTGTTATATAGGGTGCCATGTCATGGGATTAGAGTAGCCAGCCCGTAAGGTAATGGGTCGAACTCGGGAAGCGTGAAGTCTTCCAAACCTGAGGATCGTGGCGTTCAGACAGCCGGACTTTTGATGTAACCTGAAGCTAGTAAGTGTGAACATGGTAAATTTTTCGAACCTAGTCCCCGCTCGGTGGTCTCGGTGAAAGAAAGAAGGTAACTGATGGCGTTGACTTCAGATAGAAGTGTTTTATGTCCCTGCTAGAGTCAGGGGACCGTTGAGCTCGGCTAGGTACGAGAGTGTTTCAACTTCGGGGGGCCAAGGAGGGGTTACATAGAATCTACAAGGATAGGGTCGAGAAAGAGGATGATAAGACGAGGGCGGTGAGCTCCGAAGTTGAGCGAAGGCAGACTATCTCCGGTACAGGCAGTTGCGAACTTCGCCACCTTAGCAGCGAGGGGGATGGGGAGTCCAGGACTTGAAACGAAAGAAAGAGGAGGAAGGTAGGAAGATTTGGATCTGAGGAAGGGCTTGCCTGGCATGTAAAATAAAAAAGGCTGGGAAAACAGTGGGGAGAGGATGTGTATGTTGAGATGGGCTGCGTGATCATCGTGATGCATGCTGAGCTTATGGTGTGGACCTTAGAAGAAGGTGGTATTGTAAGGGAGGATGCCGAGGGCACCTACGCAATATAGAAGGTAAAACTATAGCATAGCGATTCGACATGGCTAAAATGTTTAAACGCTAATCAGCACTACAGTCGCCATTACGAACCGTATAATTTTGACACGGTTGCTTATTGTGATTCGTGAATCATCCACTCTACCTCCCATACTTTGCTCTGCCTGACCTGTGTCACAGCTGCTCAACACCGCTCGAAGATTCGATATAACCCCGGCAGATTAGCCACCTCGAGGACCCCCGGCCCATGTAGCAGCCCTTTCGTAGCCACAAGCCTCGCCTTGATAGCAGGGAAGATGACATATTCAATCGCCCTGAGGAGGTGTTTCCGTCTGGCCGCGATCTCTGCATCCTCCACTCCTTCGGCCACTCCATCCGCATCAGATGTCCGCGGTAACGGCAGACTCTCCGGTACGTAGAAGCTCGCGAGCTCTCGCAGAAACGAACGGAAGCATTCCTTTTCATCCGTCCAATCAACATGCGGTCCAAGACGTAACAGGAATTGGGGCAATTTGGCTAGGGACGGCATATATCCCTTCATGAACAAGGGAATTGCCAACAGCTCTCCCTCCTCTGAAATCTCAATCGAGAAATACTCAGCAAGCATGTCTTTGTGCGAAATCAGGCATTGACGAACCGTGGTAACGACTTCGTCCCAGTCAGTCTCGTCGTCGATCTCTGCCATGTCTTTCTCGTGGGCGGCGGCTATCTGTAGGAGCTCCTGGAGACTGAGGACAGGACTGAAACGGATGGCGCCGAAGTTTCCGAAGTCCGTTAGCCCGATTTGGTAGAAGAACTCATTGCACAACATGCCGTAGTCGATGAGGTAGAGCTTGACGCTGCTTTGTATAGCGACAATGCGGCGCCGTTCATCAACCACGCCGACAAAGGCGTGGCTTGCGAAGATATCGGTGAGCTCGTTGTGCATGGCATCACGGACGTCGGAACGAAGCTCTTTGATAGTTGTTAAGCGGCAGAGGGTCATCTCCTTCTCAGAGTCCTCATACTCTATGTCTTCGGTGGCGGTGATATCACCGCCCGAGGAAGGATGTTGGGTTTGCACAAGCATGGACGTGATCTTCCGTACAGAAGCGTCTGTTCGAACGAGGTTGTTCTCATAAGGCTTCTTTGTCGCGGTCTTAGAACCAGGTGCCTTCTGAGACTTTCCGGCCGGTGTGGAAACGCCTGGGCTCTCTACATCATCTTCGCCTGAGAGAACACCGGATGTTGATATTAATGGAATCTTCGCCCCAGGTAGGAGGCTTTGCGTCATAAAAGCTCTGCTGGTGTCTACCTTGCCTAGACTTGTCCGGATCTCATCACATATAATCTCAATGATTTCGTCTTCGTTGAGAAAGTTGACTTCGCGCTTGGTGGGATGCACGTTGACATCGACACGATGGGGGTCAATCTCCAAGCTAAGGTAGATGAACGGGTGACCACCTTTTGGAAGAAACGTAGCATAGGTCTGCTCAACTGCTTTCTTGATATTTGAAGACTCGACCGAACGATGGTTAATGAAGAGTAGCAATGCCGTTCGCTTGACACTGTAATTTGCGTTGCTGACCCATCCATCTGACTTAAAGCCCCAACGGTCATTGGAAGCCTTGAATTGGATGAGTTCATTAGCAACGCCGCTACCGTGGACTTGTCGTATACGGTCGACAGTGCTAGCATTTGCAGGTACAGTTATGCCCATGTTGGAGTCTCCGTGCTTCTTGCATGTGAAAGATACGCCAGCACAGTGGACTGCATACCGACCAACGAGATCTAGAATTTTGGCGTACTCCTCACTAGCAGACCGAAAAGCACGTCGACGAGATGGGACGTTGTAGAAGAGATCTTCGACCTGAGCGGACTTAGTCCTATTTACCTTCATTCAATTGTACGCCTACTTACGGTAATCTGAGTGCCTTGACGCCCAGCAATTGGTTTCGGTTCCGCAGTCTGGCCTGGCTTAGATGGAACGAGTTTCCCATCACCATAATGAGCACGCCATGCGCAGCTTGACCCATTCGTCTTGGTAGTGACGCTGAGATGAGCAATATGGCTGATACTGGCCAACGCTTCGCCACGAAACCCGTACGTCCCAATCGAAGTCAGATCTTCGAAAGCCTTGAGCTTCGAGGTCGTGAAGCGCTCGCAAAGGATCGCTAGATCCTCTCGCTGTTCATCATTTAACAGCTTGCCTTGAAATCTTGGAAATGTAGACTTACATCAATACCACTCCCATTATCCGTAATTTGAAGCAGTTTCAACCCACCATCTTTGATCACAATTTCTAGCCCAGTAGAGCCAGCATCAACCGCATTCTCAATCAACTCTTTAAGCGCATGGACAGGCGCAACGATAATTTCACCGGCGGCGATTTTGTTGACGACGTCTTGGGACAGCGCTTTGATTCTTCTAGGAGCTTCCGGTAGCTGTGCCACGTCGGCCGTTCTCTTTGTGCCCCTCGGAGACGCAGACTCGGTATCCATCTCTTCTGCCATCTTGGCTCCTCTAATATATTTAGTTAGAAAGGCTCCATATCAAGTTTCGAAGTGGGATGTTGAGGAAGGATGACATAGATCGTGGCGCGACGTTGGTACTTAAAAGGGACGTGCGCGGAAGAGCCGTGCGACATCTCAGCGGTGCTCGAGATTGCGGAACTTGATATCTCATTGAAGCAGCCCCGAACACAATTAAAAGTGTCAGTTGGCATTCACGTAGGGTCTGATTCTTGGCATTTAAGAGTTTTGCGGTAATGTCCTGCTCAAAACGCAGTGTGTAATGTTTTAATTCAGGAGTCTAATTTACTCCTTCAAACCCCTATCGTTAACCACCAACCCCAAAATTAGACCTCGGGCAATACTAGAGAACTTCTCAAGGTACAGGAAAGCCAACACCTTTTGACATGCCAACACCTGCCCCCAAAGAGGTATCCTTCAGATGAGAGGAGACCTCAAATATAACCTGTTTTGACCGTGTTCCAAGTGTATCCGATTCTGAGTGTCGAGTCTTAGAGCCTAAACCTTTGTACGTGTTCATAAGCCGTTTCCCAAGGTCCAAAAACGCCTTATTTACCTCTCGCTCCGATTCCAATCGTCTTGAACGTCGCCGTGACGAGACTCGAAAAATCCACTTCTCCTGCCCCGTCCTCTCCCGCCTCCCCCCCCACCCCCTCATCCCCTTCCACCCCTCTGCTGAAAGCCTTCTCACTTCGCCGCCTTGCCCTTCGCCTCAACCTCCCCTAGCTCTCTAATGACAACGCTCACGCTCCCCTCGCCAAGATCCTCCTTCCCATCCTCGAAGCCTGGGCTGCATGCAACTGCCAAGAACTTACCATCGGTAGAGAAATCCAGCGCCGCCACACTGGCCGGAAACTTGTGGTACTGTCGAATCCTCCGTTTGGCCACCGCGTCCCAAATTGCCACAATCCCGTCACCGCCTCCAGATGCGAACGTGCCGTGCACGGGGTGAAATGCGAGCGCGTTGACAGGATACACCACGTCGACGCCATCCACAGTCTGGCGATGGCACTTGAAAGCGTACTTCCGCGCTTGTGAGTCGTTAGAGGGATCGAACCATTCGACAGCAACGCGACCCTCGATGCTAGACGAAGCGTAGCCGGCGTCGTTGGGCATGCATGCGACAGCGCGAGTCATGTACTTCAGGGAGCTTTCGCGGCGCTGCCATGGCTCGGCTTCGATAGTGTTGATAGCAGAGTCGGTAGCGCTAGATTCTGATATAAGCAGATGTAAGTTGCTGAGTTCGTATATGTGGAGGGCTCGCGATGCCATAGCTACCACGAGCTTGGTGGGGGTTAGGGAGAGCGAGAATGCTTTCGACGGGAGCGCGAGAGAGGCCGGGATTTGGTCGCCGCTGAGAGAGTGGAAGTGGAGAGTCGAGTCCCAGGAGGCAGATATGAGGAGGGATAGCGTGTTGCTGTAGACGAGGCGATTTGCGGGCGCTGAGTGGGTGCTCAGGACATTTTGGGCGCCGGTTGTGAGATCGATTCTGCGGAGGTGTTAGTGGTCGGTAATAGCTCAGGGTTGGAAAGCTCTTAGCACCGTCGAACGTCCCAGTCCAGGCCACAGCTGAAGGCCTCGTCGTCGTCTTTGCCGAAGCAGACATCAAGGACGGGGGCACGGTGTTCGAATTTGTTTATGAGAGTTCCGATGCCGCTGGTGATCTCGTAGAGGTAGACATGCTTGTCCCAGGAAGCAACGAGGAGCTTATTAGAGTGAGGCGCAAATTTGACGGACGATATGGCGTCCGCAGGATTCTGGTTCTCGGGGATCTCGAATTGCGCACCTGCTCGCGCAAAGAGGGTGAGTACGGCCTCTTCTTTCGCGTCCGAAGACATTTTGGTGATGTGTGGTGGAGAGAAGGAGGGGAGGTGCAGGCGAGAGTGAGATGATGAGGTGAGGTGACGTGAAGAAGCTGGACTTACTGCTGCTCATATTGTTGACTGTGGGGGGCCCTCGTGGATGTGATGGTCTTGACAGAGATGGGACAAAACGGTGCTGAATTCGAGGTCGCGGTTTCTGCCACCGCCCGAGTCGAGCTCTTTCGCTTGCCCCACGTTCGTTCATTCTTTAACCTTGCAACAACATCCGTAAGATCGAATATGCCTTTCGCTCAGCTCGTAATAGGGCCACCGGGCTCCGGTAAGTCTACTTACTGCGATGGCATGCACCAGTTCCTCACGGCTGTCGGGCGCAAGTGCTCCGTCGTGAACCTCGATCCCGCAAACGACCATACTTCTTACCCTGTGGCTCTCGACGTTCGCGATCTCGTCAGCCTGGATAGCATAATGGAAGATGAGCAACTGGGGCCAAATGGGAGTGTTCTATTTGCTCTGGAGGACCTTGAGCTCAATTTCGACTGGCTGGAGGAAGGCCTCAAGACTCTCGGAGGTGAGCGGACAAAAGCGCCCCCGCCATTTGTGTAGGAGGCAACTAAAGTTTGCTATCATAGATGACTACATCCTCTTCGATTGCCCTGGCCAAGTCGAGCTGTTCACGCATCATGCCTCCCTGCGGAACATCTTCTACCGCCTCCAAAAGCTCGGGTACAGAGTCCGCCCTCCCCTTGATCCCTCCTGCGTTTCCGTTGCTGTACCTCAACCCGAGACATCTGTTGACTCTTCTGACAGCTCGTACTCATGAACCTGACTGACTCTTATGTCATTACACAACCATCTACCTACATATCCGCCTTACTGCTTGCTCTTCGTAGCATGTTGCAGATCGAACTGCCGACTCTGAACGTCTTGACTAAGATTGACAACCTGATAAACCACCCGAACCTCCCCTTCAACCTCGACTTCTACACTGAAGTCCACGACCTATCACATCTTCTCCCCATACTGGACGCAGAACAAGCATCACGCTCGAGCTCAGACCAAGGATCGAAAGAAGGGGCGGAAGGTGAAGAAGACCCACCACAATCTAAATTCGCAGCTTTGAACAAGGCTGTAGTAGAGCTAGTAGAGGAATATGGACTTGTTGGCTTTGAAACTCTGGCCGTAGAAGACAAGACGTCGATGATGACGCTCTTGAAGGCAATCGACAGGACCGGTGGATATGCTTTTGGTAGCGAAGAAGGCGCGAATGATACTGTGTGGCAGGTTGCTATGCGGTCTGATGCCGTGACTATGGACGCACGAGACGTGCAGGAGCGATGGCTGGATCGGAGAGAGGAGTTGGACGAGGAGGAGAGAAAAGCTTGGGCAGAAGAAGGAAAGGAGGCCGGTGGCAGAGAACCAACGGGCGAGCCAGCGGAGACTCAAGTTTCGAAGCCTAGGGAGACTCAAGTTGCGAATCCTCCGCCTCGGAATGGTGGTGCGGCGGCAAATAGTGACGATGAGGATATGGAGGATATAGAGCAGATGAGAGCGGCGGTGGAGAAGAGCGGAATCAAGATTGTTAAGAAAGGCTGAAGGTGCTCTGGGCGTGGGTTGTTGCATGAAACTGCGAAGAGGTTCTATTATACCTGGACCAGATGAAAGCTATTCATCTCAAAAGGCTTATGGGTGCTGATATAGCAGCGATACCCCAGATAACCCCCACTAGCGGGGCAGAGCAGGGCGGAGATATTCACCAGCTCACCACAAACAAGCTGGCGGAAACATCACTGAGGAATTATGTAGAATGCGATCGATGGGTCGCCGTACTCTTATTACCATGACCACCACCTTGTCTTTGATCGCATACCTTTGTAACCCAGCGACACCATGAAAAGAAAGCTTGGCGGTGACGATGTGGATGTTGTTCGTGACGCGAAGCGGCGCTTTCACCTCGTCAACAAACCGCGACGCACCATGAATGAGCTGCTAGCCTTTATCCTCGACCATGAAGAAGCGTTTCGAAGGTAGCAAATGATGCATAGGCTTACGCAAGGATTTGCTATACTAATCTCGACTACAGTCGCGGTCGCCTTGCGTCGCTGTATTCGGACTTCCGCTCTCAAATCCACACCAACCCCGATGGCTACCATGCTAACATAGGCGCCTGGAAGAAGGCGCTCGCGGACGCAGCGCGCGCTGGAGTGATTCCATCTCAAGGGGCCGCGCACGATCTCCTCACGATTCGGACGGGCGACGAGCTATCGAGAGCGCTTGCTACCCGCGAGTATGGACGACCCATGGCCTTGGGAGTGGTGATAGTACGTTACTCCTGCACAGCACCTGCGCAAAGCTGACACTTTCGAAGGGAGACGCTGTATCGAAGAAAGAAATGGTCCCTCTGAACGACTTTCTGTCCTCGAAGACGAGTATCTACAATCGGAGTTGGGTTCCAACGCCATGGCAGGTCATATCATGGGGACTGCGGCAGCTAGGAGTGATTGGAGCTCCAGGATCTCAAGAAAGTCTAGCTGTTGGAAACTTTGTAGTAATGGCTAATGTTGAGGTATACTCTGCCCTATGTTTTCGTATTACAGATACTGACTACCACAGGCCGCCGCGTCCATTATCCTTAAACAAATGTCCTCTAGCAAATCGAATGTAGACCTCGTCTTCTCCCGCAGCACCTTCGCGACCGAATTCGCCAATACCCTGGACTCGTCCCACGCCCTTACCCAGATCGATCTCAACATACTCCTCACCTACCTTGCTCGAGATAAGCAGGCTATATCCTTTGACTCCAAAACCGTCAAGTTCAAACAGGAAAGCCAAGCTGTACCATCTCCAATAACTCACCAGGATGCCACGATCGCCAACCTCCGTGACCTTATTTCCTCTATCAGCACCCAAATCCCACCCTTGACTGGACGGATAGCAACACTCGACGCTACTGCTCGATCCGCCGTGGCCTCCAAGACTATGACGGCAGCGAAGAGTGCTCTCCGCTCTAAGAAACTTGCCGAAGCTACGCTTGTCCGTCGTACAGATACCCTTGCCCAGCTCGAAGAAGTGCTTGCCAAGATCGAGCAAGCTGCTGATCAGGTCGAGATTATCAAAGTTATGGAAGCTAGCGCGACTGTGCTCAAGGGGCTGCATAAGGAGGTTGGAGGTGCGGAAGGCGTCGAGGGTGTCGTTGATGCGCTGAAAGAGGAGATGAGCAAGGTTGACGAGGTTTCTGGTATCATCAATGAGGTCGGCCAGGAGGGTGTTGTGGATGATAACGAGGTGGATGAAGAGTTCGAGGCCTTGGAGAGAGTGGAGAGGGAGAAACAGGAGAAAATAGAAAGAGAGAAGAGAGAGCAAGAAGAAGCGGAAAAGACGAGAGTCCGACTCGAAGAACTGGAGAAGCTAGACCAGGAGAGGAAGGAGAAGAAGAGAGTGGAGAGAGAGAGGAACAGGCTAGAAGAAGAGAAGATACGAGAGGTCGAAAGGAAGAGACAGGAAGAAGAGAGGACACGAGAGGCGGAAGCGGCACAGAACGCCTCTGTGGACGACTCGATTTTGGAGCAGGCCTCTCAAGAGATGAGCAGCATGTCTTTGAGCGAGACAGGCTCTGAACAAGCCGAGAAGCCTAAAGAACCAGTTCCAGCATCCTAGCGAGGTGAATCCGGTTTCTACACCTGTATCATGTCTGGTCAAGATTGTTTTAATGTTTCATTGAGGTCTTGCAGCTCGGAGTTCATGAGTCTAAGAGAAAGCGTGCGACCCTTGGACTTAGTCGCTTCGGCGTCATGGCTTCAAACATACATATAGGGTCTTGTTTTAATCAACGTGTATAAATGGTTCAGTGGGTTCTCTCAGAGCTACTTATCTCTCTGTTTCACTGCGGGGTCTATCATTCTGATGTGCTTTGAGTCAGTGTAGTAGGCTCAGACTGCTCATACTTCCCCGTAACTCTGGAATAGACTAAGAAAATGTCGCCAATCCGTTGCATCCACTCGAATTCCCCCCTCCCCGGAATGGCTGATCTTCAAGGGGGAAAATGAGGGCATATATGCCTATAGCACTGCCTCCACTTCAATTTCAGCCCCATCCCTTCGGCCCCCCTACCAAACGCCTATATAAACACAGTAGCCCTCATAGATCTTACAGTGATATTAAAAATTTCACATGAGATACAGCCTTTGCCAAATGCAAATATTCGTGCAAACGTGTTTGTCTACCACCTGCTTCAATTGCAGTCTTAAAGCAGCCCGTACTGAAAGCATCGCAGTGACTGGTAAGACCATTACCCTTGAGGTAGAGCATGATGGTACCATGGATGAGGTGATCACTTGAATTGAGGACAAGGAGGTTCCCTACGACCAGCAGCGCCTGGTTTACCATGTAGGGCAAATGGGGAGGGCACTTCCCTCTAAGACTATGGTTTCGTCAAAGAAACAACTCTCTTACACCTTGTATTTTGCCTCGCTTGGTGGGTAAAGGGTTCATTGGGCAGAGATGTAAGTCACGCTGTCCAACACAACAGAATTGTGAGGAAAGTAAGCGGTACATGGTTCGCTGATAGCTCTCAGGGGATGGTCACTCTTTTGTTCCAGATGGAATGGGAAGGAATGGCACCATACAACGCATGAAAGAGTTGTTCATTGAAAAGACGGGACTTAAGTCTGAGAGGCAGCATCTCATGTTTGAGCGCACAGTGCCGGGGAATTCGCAGACATCGGAAGATATGCCGGCGCGGTCGGGAGCTATCTTCCAACTTTCGGGGGCTGAGGCTTGAAGTGACACGCATATGCTTACAAACAATATGTTGGACTTGTCTATTAGAACATGGAATAGCTTTGATGATATTCTTTGACGCTGAATTCCAAGTCTCATGAGCGGTCAACGGCATTGCCGATTTCGTGTCTCACACTGCGCTCCTGGCAAACTTCGCAGCTTGAAAAGACCCACGCTCTAATTGGATACCCTCCCTGTATGCAGCTCGATGATAAGGTAAATTTTGTCACGGCGGTGTGTGTATCAAGGCCATCGAGGTTTCTTTTGTTGGAAAGGTGGGCGCTAAACCGCTTCCAATTAGACTCATCGCCAAGACCATTCTCGGAACCTCACTTCACTCCTCCAAAGAGCTCCGATCCCCCCCTCCACCGACACCCAGCAATCAACCCTCAGGCCTTCCATACCGCGCCTCGGAACTCTCCAAGGCGGTTCTCTCTCCACTCCTCTCCTCCTCCGCCCACCACGACCGGCAATGCCTCTCATCCAACCTGCCCGCTGCGCCCAGCGCGTCACCGCCTCCCTCCCGTCCCGCACGCCCGCCACGACACACTCCGCCATCCGCCGGTCAATTTCAACCTCGCAGTCGCTACGGTCGGGCTCACACGCCCACGAGGACCACTACGACCCGCCATCCGGATGGCTCTTCGGCGTGCGACCGGGCGAGAAGTATCAGAACGAGGGGTGGGAGAAGGTCTGGGTCTATGGCTTCTTTGGCAGTTTAGCGCTGGGTGTTGTCGGGTATGCTTTTAAGCCAGATACGAGGTACGTTTGGCACTCAGCATTAGAAGAATTGTTCGAGAAGAGATGGGTAGGGAAGAGTGGGGAAGGCTATGGATCAAACGGGAATTGCGTACAGGGCTCTGGGCTAATCAATGATAGCATACAAACATGGGCTCTCGAAGAAGCGCGGCGACGGCTGGAAGCTGAGGGCATACTCCCGGATCCGGATCTGAAGAAAGGCAACGACGCGAACTAGACTCGGATGATCAATAGTTGCACGCAGGGCTTTGTTTCAAGTTACGGAGATCGAACGTCTTTCGACTTGGTCCGAAACTGATCCTCATCGACTGAGGCCAAGTCTGGAGACGAAGAAAGGCGGATGGAATTGTACATAATCTTGAGCGCAGACGCGGGATTTCCTTTGAGTGGCACGGTAACTACAGCATAGAGTTTGGACTGGCTTATTGCCTTACATTTTCGACAATACCACATGTTTTGTCACCAAATCAAAATGTCTTCGAAGCTTAGCCTCCCCCAGCTAACGGTCCTCTTACACCCGAAATCGCTGAGACGAGATGGCAAGTAGAACAAACTTGCAAAGGTTCCCATTTAGGCATGTACTATCTGTGGGTTCCTGACTAGTTTCATCATCATCACCTCCCCTCTATCAGGGCTGTCAGTCATATTCGCTACATGAACCACAAACAAATTGATCAGTGGATTGTGCTGCTTACATTCTTGCTGTCATCACTCATCATCTAAAATCGCTTCGTGCCTGCAAGCTAAATGTCGCTCTGGGATATAAAAGCACTGCACTTGATACTTACAATTCATTATCTCCCTCTCGCCACCCACCCCCTTCTGCATCCCACAAACACAATTTCCGTGACAATCCAGCACTGGGTCCTGTAGGCCACTTTCTCCAGTCATTCTCTTCTAAACTGGACCCCTCAAGCCAGTAGTCATACTTACGCTCCGATCAGCTAATCATGTGTCAACATACAATCATCCTCTTCTCGTGCGGATACAACGAATTCGATGACGATGCCACATCGCTCTGCTGGAAGAGAGAACAATGGGCCCTGCGAGGCAAGCAATGTCCCGAGATTGAGTTCATTCCCAAGCAGGTCTCCTATTCCTGTCTGGCTTGCGGGGACACGAGTTCGAGGGTGGCTAGGTTCCATTGGAGAATGGAAGAGGACCAATCATATGAAATCAGAAGGCATGAGAATGGCCAAGCATTGAAGACTCCAGAGGAAGAAGAGAAAGCTACCGACACCAAAGCCGAGCACAAGGGAAGCCGTGTGGACGTCGAGTTAGGTGGCCAGAACGACGATATCGCGGAGCAGAAGAATCATAGAAGCGCTCGCGAAATCTCGATCTATTTAGGACCGATGGAGGTGGTGGTCAGTATCCGTAGATCGGGAAATGGGGAATCTTCCGTTAACGGAGGAGGTTGAAGGCAACGGTCGTAAGGTCGAGCTGGGCGGTCAGAATAACGACGTTGTAGAGAAGGAGTGTGCACGTGCGATTGAGATGGAGATTAGTACGTTAGGGTGGAAGTTCGGTTTCCGTATGACGGTCGAGACACGTCGCTGATGGTCGATGAGGGTTCCAACGGGTGAGCCAGGCGGATCTAGAACGAGTAGATATGGTATCAGTACTGGAGGTGATAGGCCACGTTGAAGGGTGGCAATGTCAAGGCACTGCCGGTATTGGACACCACCAGCTAAACCTAATATTTCACATGCAGAATCATCTACTCCTTTTCAAATAGAACTCCATGATATCAAATACGGCTTGACCCTTCTCCCAAACGCGTGCGAGACCCTACGACTTCATCATATGTATTTAAAATATCAGAAGCACACATGTGGCCACAAAAAGCTTCATACCACATTCCCTTGTGTTTCCTGCGGATGGAAGCAGAAGATTCGAGTAGAGCCTCAGAAAGATATTTGTGTAGTGCTTCAAGAGCATGCCGAGGAACGTGTTGATCATTAAAGCAAGGAGCAGAAAGCCAAGACAGACGAGAGAAATTATTAGCAAAGCATTCAGTTGATGGTTCATCAGTACCTGGTTTATATTCACTGCATGTTTGAATCGGGTGTAACTAGTCGCTTCTTCGCCTCTAAACCCGTGCAATCTCCGACGGACCTAGCCTCAGCCCAACACCAACCTCCATGATGGATCTCTCCCTCAACCTCACCAGCACCCACGTCGTAGTCACTGGCGGCGCTGGTCTGATCGGCCGAGTCGTCTGCGATGCGTTCGCAGCCGCCGGTGCAAGGGTCTCCAGTCTTGACATCGCCCATGGGGAAATCAGTTATCGGGGCCCCAATGCAGCTATACTGGAGATACACTGCGATATCTCAGACCCGGAGCAGGTTGCCGCTGCTTTCGAAACAGCGTATGGCTTCCGCAACATGGTCCACTGTTGCGTCGCACTCGGTAGCTTGGATCTCAGTGTTCTTGAGCACACATCCACTATCGCCGCCGCAAGCTTCGAACAGATGAAGAGAGTTCTAGATGTCAATGTTGCTGGGACTTGGTTGACAGCGCGGGAGTGGTTAAGGGGTCTGAAGGGTGTTATAGATGAGAATAGACAAGAGAAGGAAACCGCGAAGAATGTGGGATTGATAATCGTGGGAAGCGAAAGCGGGTGGTTTGGAGAAAGAGGGAATGCGGACTACGCCATGGCGAAGAGTGCGGTACAAGGAGGATTGCTGATGAGTCTGAAAGCTGATGCTCCGAGAGTTTGGGAGGGTGCTAGGTGAGTGAACTCTTACGTCTACCAACTATTTATAAGTGCTAGGGAGAAGGCTGATAGATCGAGCACAGAGTCAACGCGATTGCTCCCGGCGCAGTCGATACGGAAAGGTTCAAGCAAGAGTGCCAGGAGAACCCTGAGCAATATTGGCTTGACTGTCAAGGAACGGTAGCTATTCTTTCTTTCTTTCACTTCCTCACAAGATGAGATCTGATCTCTGCCCAGACTGCTCTTCGAAAGCCGGTCTCACCGGAGGCTGTTGCAAAGACCATTTTATTTCTCGCGAGTGAAAACTTCAGTGGCCGTATCCATGGTCAAGTTTTGAACGTAGATAGTGGAAAGCAAGGAAAGGTTATGTGGACTAAGGAAGAGTGCAAGTAGTGAGTCTACGGAAAATAAGAGATTATAAGTATTAGTTCCATGGCCTCGAGGCATGGAGCGAGATCGGGTTGACTAGATCATAATTTCTTTTCTTTGATGAGTATCATGAGCTTTCTACCATTCCAAAGTCACTGCTCATGATTTCATATACACATGCGCCTTCCTCTAGGTCTCATTGTGCAGGTCTTTCCAAAAATGCATCGATCTTTACCTCCAAGTTGACTCATACATCCGACCGTAGCTTCCATACCAAGGGCAGCGAGACCCCATGATCTCTTCATGACTGCTCCACAAAGAAAACACACTCTGCAGTGTCCTCATATCATTCTGTCTGCTTTCCAAATTCAGCCATCGATAGTCCATAATCACATAGCCTCAGCTCTTCGCGAAAAATCTCACTTCTTACTCCACGGTATCACATCCAGTAACTCCCGCGCTCAAACTACTTCTACCAGCAAGAATCTCGATTGGTCAAGATGGGGTTCGGCAACGGCGTCAGTTGCGGAATCATTCGCGCTCACGGTAAGCTGACGAAGTCGTTTGGCGAACTTCAATATATCAGCTTGCTAACTTCGCTCCAGGAGAAAGGCAGCCTACAGCCGTCGCTATCAAATCTGTGAAGCCATCCCCGAGGCCAGTCCTTGTGCCCTCCCATCGTGTACCGGCTAAATCCATGGGACTCAACATTCACGCCACGGCCATCATCAACCAAGCCCACTTTTGGACGGGCAGGGCGAATAACAAGGCCAACATAAAGCGTAACGCAACTCCCGCTGGCCAAAATACTACCGAAGAGAAGGTCAAGGTCGTACTCTCTAGTGGTACCGGTTTAGTCGAATCCGACTCAAACCCGGACTCATACTCATCGCGCGAGGCTACTCCGCCGTACACCCTACCTTCGCAGAGAGTAGGCCCAACCAAGTCCAGGGCCAATTCTGGTGGTTAGTGTACTCTGAGATTACCGCGAACATTCGGCAGCCCCTATGTCCCTCTCAGATTGCTAATTTAGAGTTAGCCTCTGCGAACGGCATGCTTACTTCAAGCAAGTGGGTCAACTTACCTTCCGATTCGCCAAAGATCGCCCAGATTGAGGTCAACGCGGATGTTAAGATTGAGACGAAGTTTACTTTTGTGGAGCCCTTGACTCCAGCCAACTATCTATCGTCCGTATCAGCAGACGGTTTGCCGCTCTGGGATGACGACCAAGACTCTGAACCCGAAGAATCCGAACCAATACCGCACTATCCTACTAAGGCCGTCGTTATGTTCTACTACGAGCAAGGAGGTCAAAAAGGTCGCAAGTTCTCACAGCCTTCGAAGATCGTGAGTGACTCTACTCACTTGCTCGACAAGGTCGCCGATCCCGAGGAATACTTTAAGTGGAAGGCAGCGTATAAGGACAGTCCTCTTGGCCCTAAAGAGTACTGGGATATCGTTTCGTACCACGAACATGCGCACCAGAAGAGAGCTTTGACACTCTGATCACAATAACTCCTAATTTTCTTTCCCGTCATTCTATTGTTATCAAAGGCAGTAGGAGGTCGCACGCAGGGCAGTTTCTTTGGTTGGTATCGAAGTAAGATTCGCGCCTCTTCCCTAGAATAGTTTTGGCCCATTGGGTATTGCCTAAAAATGAACTCTCTTCTCTCTTTTCTCACTGAACAGTTGGAGTTAGCTCGTTCCTTTTCGTCTTACTCACAATCTGATACCGACGAATGAATTTGAACGGAAAAAGCTCGTTTTGTCTGATCAATTTGCTTTGATCTCTCGGATTATTCCTTCTTTCTCTAGCACCAGGCTTCCCCGTAACGCCGCTATTTACCCTGGAAGGAAACCGTATTGGGTGAACTAACTCTAGCGCCTTGCTACCATGCTTCCTTCTACCAAGAGAGTGGGAAGATAGGAGAAACCACCAGCTAAGAACCGCACAGCGGGAAGTGTTCAATGTCTGTTACTTGGGGTTCTTATGGGGATCTAAACATGGACATGGCTAAGCTACGGGAAGGCAAGAAAGATGGATGGTCTCCGACGCAGAATCCGCATGAATTTGGAAAGATTGCAGACGACGAACTCCAATGCTTTATGCGGATGAGAAAAATATGTTATGCCTTAACGGTATGTAGGCAGATGGTGCCTCTTTCGTGCATTGTCCTCTTTGCAGGCTAACTTTGTGTTTAGCACGAAAAGACTATCTTCGCAGAGGTTCTGAGTGGAGGCTTTGGGGACAGGCTCGTGAGGCAGTTTGTCAACGTGCCCATCGAATGGCGTGGTGTAAGCTCTACCCTTACGTGGCTAATATCAAACACTGTTATCTTTGACTAATCATTTATACAGAAGAAAGGCAACAATCGTCAAGGCAACGACGGAAAAGCAGAGAAATCGATCAAGCGAGCAGAAAAATGCATAGAGCAAAAGCACGCGACGGAAGCCGCGAAGAACCTTGCAGCGACAGCAGGTCAGGAGGCCAATACCGTTAACGCCGATGTCACGTCTACGGCGAAGAAGGCCAGCAATGCAAGCAACGCACGCGCATCGAAGAAGCTTGAGCTGCTGATGAATGGTGTAGTTAGAGAGGCATTCGTTCTTGGGATTATGATTCTGGACCTCTATATCGGACTTCTGGTCGACGAAGAGGAGGAGGATGAAGAGCAAAACATTCGACGCATCCCCCAGCGCCCGATTTACCGCCTGATTCAAGCTTTCCCGGCTAATTAGTTCAGCAGGATCCGCAGACACAGCCGCTGTTAGCTCGCCTTCCTCTAGGTGGCTATCTCACCACCCCTGTGGTCAACCTTAACCAGAACCGGGGCAACGATCAATACAGTCTCGTTGATAGCGTTGGCCCATCCAACACTCACCAACACCAATATGTCCCAGAGGCTTCGAACCAACCCGCCACACTAGAGAAGCAGGCCAGGAAATCTGTATTAGCATCAGAGCCTCCCAAGCAGAGAGTGAAGGAATCGAAAAATCCAGGACAAGATCTTTCTGCTCCAAATACCTTTTGAGACTCCAACTCAGCAAGCTCTCCCCAAACCTGCCGAGAGGTATACTGCCCCCGTCAGCTATCAGACCCAGCAGCAGTTGGAATCTCCACAGAGCCAATTGACGGACCAAGGGACGTCTCTTTCAACCAGCGTGGTTAGTAAATCGGCGGCCGGCTTAACTAGGGAGCAGATTGATTGGGCTGTTATATATAGAATGAAGCTTGATTAATTGGATTGATTAGAATTTTGGATTGGACGGTTTGATCCAGATTGTTAAATAATAATGTATAGCGATAGGTAAGAGCTAGCTAGTACGGCAGTTGGTAGGAGTTCTACCGTTAAGAAAACAAACAGCTCGCCTCCCTTCTAGGGGCGGGGAGGCGTCTTTATCCTACAACTTCCCGGCGCTCTTGGATGTTAGCTAATCCAAGCTAAACTAGTTAAACTTAGTCTAACAGGGCCCGTGGCCAACACCGGTAAGATAACCCTACCTAAAGGGCTTTATCCTAAAGGCTACTATAATAGTATCTTTTTTTTTTTAAGGAACTATTCTTAATTATATAAAAAATATATAGGCAGCTTAAATAAGCAGTAAAAAGTAAGAAATATAAAAGGCTAGTAAAGCTTTAGCTAATTAGGGCGTGCTAAGCGATAAGTTATCTACTAGTATAGAATTAATATATTTTATATCTAAGCTTTTTCCTTTTTTATTACCTTTATATTCTTTTTTTTTATTCTAAAGGCTTTTTACTTTTAACTACTTTTTAGTTTTATATACCTATTATTACAATAGTGCTATAAGTAGGAGTTTAAGAGCTTAGAAAAAAGCTTTAATTAGATGCTAAACACGTTACTACGTAGGGAATTAAGACGTTATATAAGGAATAGGAAATCGAGAGCGCCGGCGAAGAAAATATGCCGGCGAAACGTGCGTATAGTATAAGCTCGCGAGCTCTATACAAGATTAGGTAACAACGCTACGTAATCTAGTCTATAACCTAGACTATAACCTAGACTAAGTTATATAATCTAGGCTATATTCTAGGATATAATCTAGACTAGGAGCTAGACTAAACACGTAATCGGCGAATTATAGTAGGTAAGGTATTACAGGTAGTTACTATAATAGTACCCCCCTTTTAAACCTAAGTTTTTTAGGCGTTAAAGTCGTGTTATATAGCCCTAGGGTAGTTAGTAAAAGCCTTCTACGCAGGGCTCTTATAATCGTATAATTATATATTAGGTGGCTTAGGTATATTAGGGTGCCGGCGATAATAATCGGCGGCAGCTATTATATTTTTAAGCTCTAAAGCAGGCTCTTAGGATAACTTATTATAGCTAGTCTATTTAATAAGGTATTTATATTACTTCCGGCGTTAGTTAAAGCAGAGGTTTTTAATACGGTTAATATAGTACTCCGGTTCGCTATTAACCTTAATAGGTTTAGGAGAAGAGTTTTTTTTAGCTAGAAAGGTAATCTAAAAACAGGGCGGCAGGCTATAGAAGGAAGATATAGAAAATAGGGTAGATCTTTATTATATTAGGCAGGCCTAATTAATAGGCGTATAGTAAAACTACCTTAGTAAAAGTATAGAAAAGAACTATAGGGTAATCGAAAGTGCGTATATATAGTATATAGAGTGGGCGAAGAAGTATAGTATAGTATTTACCCTAGATAAGTATTACCTTATATACTTTATAAGGCGCCGTTTAAATACGGTAAATATAAAGGCTATAGTAAATATCTAGGGCTTTATAAAGGGCCTAATTATAGAGCTTTATATACTTAGAGTTTAGGTAAACTCTAAACTTAAATAGGGCCTATATATATATATTATAAAGGAAAAAGCTATAGTATAAATAGAAGCCTTTATATAGCTAATAGTATTAATATAGGGCGTAAGCTTTTAAAAAGTATAGTATATATACTTAGCAGTTATTAGGCCGGTTCTTATATATAGGTATACTACCTAGTTTCTAATACTAGGTATAAAAGAATAAATTAGTAAAGTAAAAATTAAATAACTTAAAACGGCCTAGAACTACTTCTTCTATACTATTATAGGGGTATATAAGACAATTGTCACAATAGCGCTACACGCGAGAGGTCGAGGGCTTAAAGAGGAGCGTTGATTAGGTGCTATATACAATGCTACGTGGAGAATCAAGACGTTGTGTAAGGAACAGGAAGACGGGAGACGGGCCACCGGATATAAGGGCGTGGCCGAGCGCGTGGCGTACGGCCTC